AGCTTGAATGACAATAACAGTGATCTATACGAAAGAATATGGAGATAGAAGAGATTAGATGCCACAAGTCGAAAATAGCAATTGGACTTTCTATCAATGGTGATATTGGAGAGATGATGAGCCTGAGGCACCAAGGAAAGCCAGCACCTACTGTGTTAGAAGTTCGGGTTCAAGAGATCATCATTTAACATCAAGACGGAGACTCAATATTCTTCAGGTTGATGCAACTGTTTGTCGTCAAAATTTCTAAGCTAGGATTTTGCTGTTGCCCTGTAACATCGAATGAAGCGCTTCGATTCGATACTGAGGATATAATCAAGCCTGGGGCAAACAAAATCGCTGGTGGGGCGAATGCTCGAGGAGAAATGGACTTGACTGCTGCATCACGTACAAGCCCCCACGAAGATCCTCTGAATAACTCAGACAAGGCGGATAGCCCAGTGCTGTCAATATGAGACTTCACACGAAAGGGCGTCTATCTTTTAAGGCACGAACAACTCCTCCAAAAGTAAGACAGCCCGCCCCACGTGATTCAATGCGGCAGTATGGAGACCGCCTGTCAGTTGTTCTAATCGTGGGTGAGACACGGGCCATGATGGAACTATGAACGAAAAGGCTCTTCTCTGGTAGAGATCAGGATCACCAATGCCAAAAGTTTCACATCCTTTGCAATACAAGCGTTTAAGTATCTATCGAACGGATCCAGGGCTTGAAGCTAGATTCGTGTTCTGGTCGGGAGCTTATCTGCTTTTCCCAATGAGGTCTAGCGGGGCCTTGACCATGGTTCGAGCTCCCAGGGAAGCTAGTCCGATTAGGAATAGTGTCGTCATTAACAGCTCCCTTGCGAGTCCCTTGGGGTTCGGTCCTCGACGACATTCTTCATTGTTATGTCATTTGAAGACTCTGACAGTTCGAAAGAATGCCAGCAAGCAGAATTCTAAATGGTATTTCTGCTTCATGAGAAGTTGGACGATACCTGATAATAGGCTGTGTATGTTTCATGGTGAAGGGCGTGTGACTAGGACAAAGACGAACTAGCGCTGGTCATCAGACCCAGTTCTACCCTGTGCCCTAACCTATAGGCTACATTGATTGTCCTGAATGACTCTGGTACATACTACGGAGTCCGAGTAGGTAGGGGGTTATGGAGAATCCTCTCCGCATTTCCTCCGTTCCGCTCCAAAGGCCCCATACGTCATGACCAGGACAGGCAGGTACAGCCTCCAACTAGAGTGCTTATCGCTTGCCATCGCTTGCCATCGGAATCATGACAAATGGAAACAACATCCATGGGAATGTAGGACAATGGCCGCTCATTATATCACCCCCAGACCGGCCCGGTGCGTAGATTTCGCCCTCGCTGGCATTGTCTTCCAAACTATTTCAACCGCGTCTGGTCGTCTATCTTATCAGTAACTAGTGCATCGCCTTACGATAACGGACTGGATGAGTCATTACTCAAAGAATTGATAGTTTCCAGTTCGGTACCGGCTCGAAAACACTTGAGTCTTTTCAATTAATCGCCTTCTGACACAATGATTGCCGCTAACCCCACGGAGTTGCCGCCAGGAGATTCGCCTGAGTTGGTTCTGGTCCCAGCCACACCAGAGGAACGGATCAAGTCCATCAGGCTCAACAGTGCAGCGTGGAGGGGCCGTTTAGACGTCGAGACGTACATCGCAAGAGAGAACCATTTGTATCAGCAGCGATTGGTTAAGGATGGCTTGACCTGTTGGCTTTTGGTTGACCGTAGGGAGCCAGAAGGCCAGCGGACGATCTTGAGTTCTTGTGAGACATACAAGAAGAAGGCTTTGCTGGCTCACCACGGCAAGGTGGAAGATGTTGCTACCCATGGAGTCGGGAGCGTCTATTGTCGACCTGAACACAGAGGCAAAGGTTACGCCAAGAGAATGATGCAGGAATTGTGCGCGAAGCTGGAGACGTGGGAAATGGAAAACGAGCCCAGAAGTAGATCACTCTTCAGCGTGCTGTTTTCGGATATCGGAAAGAACTTTTATGCGCAATTTGGGTGGAAGCCGTTTCCTTCTTCGCACATCTCTCTTCCACCTATCTCCAGGGAAGAATATGACCGGTCCTCACGGGCCAATCTACCAAAGGCGAGAACCTTGGTTGCCGATGACGTTCGCAAATGCATGTGTAGCGATCGAGTCTTACAGAAAGAACGGGAATCCCTGCGTGCTGCCTCGGAGAAGACCCCCATCGCCCACGTAGCAATTCTTCCTGACTTTGACCATTTCGTTTGGCACTGGGCGAGGGAAGAGTTCTATGCAGAGAAGCTTCATGGCGACCGAGCGCCGCCGCTAATCAAGGGCGCTGGTGAGGACAAGGCAAAAGTGTACTGTGCATGGAACAGAAATTTTGGCGAGACACCCCAGGACAACACTTTGTTCATTTTGCGATGGGTGTATGATGAACCAACCACGCCGGAAGAGACTGAAGCGACAGCAAAGGCCATGGCTGCTATCCTGAGGAGGGCCCAACTCGAGGCTCACGAATGGGATATGGCAAAGGTCGATGTCTGGAATCCAACTCCGCTGTTGCAGAAGGCAGTTGCCATGCTAGATTCCCCATCAGAGCTGATTCACCGAGAGAAAAGCAGCATCGCCAGCTTGAGGTGGACAGGCGCCGCGCAAGGCCTAGGCGAAGAGGTCGAATGGCTCTGGAACGAGAAGTATGCCTGGTGCTGAAAGATGTTGGCTTCTACTACCTTTCATGTTTCCGTTCCGGGTGGTCATCGTTTTCTTCGTGAAGAGTCCGCTAGAGATAGAGCCTGATACAGCCTGACAAGACCACGAGAGATCAATGGAACATAGAATTTGTCTTCAATTCTTCTGTCGTTTTTGGTTTCTGAACAGTTCATGCCAGTTTCGTGACTTTTTGGCTGCCGCGGCAGTATTGGCATCTGTCGAGATATTCTTCTTGATCTTATGTCTGTCGATGTTGTTGACGAAGTAGATTGTTGTTTGGTCTGGATACCTGTAGGAGTTCTCCTGTAGGAAATCAGTACTCTGTAATCAGCCTCAAAACAAAGATAACTGGCTGACTACAACCGGACACATACCGTCAGTTTAGACAATGCTACTTCATCCCGCCATGAATCAGGAAGATGGTCCTTCCAAGCATCGAGGAACTCGCTTCGCCCAATTGCCGAATCCTGAGCAGGCGCCATAGCCTCCAGATACGTCTCGCCGACCCATCGTGTGCACCTGGCTTTGTCGATGCTAGCCCCTGCGCGAGTATCGCCGTCAGACATCGACCGTTTTCCAAGTTTTCATGGCAGGAACTCACACTTCATGTCCCCGTCAACAAGCCCTTGAGCCTGACCATCTGCTTCGCAAACTCTCCTGACAACAGCCTCGAACAGCGCCCGCGGAAACGGCTCCTCATCCCCATCATCCAGCACTGACTTCCACAGATCCGACACAAGAAACTGCTGATCGAGATGAATACCCTGCAGCACGGCGCCTTCGAGAACCCTCTTCCACACCTCCATCTTGGCTCTCGCAGAAGGCCGCCGACAGCAACGCGCGGCATCCTCACCCTTTCTCGCCCGACCCAGCACAAAGGCACAGATCTCGATCCACCCGGCTTCACACTGCGCCCGCGAAACAGGGACATCGTCAAAAACCCGACGTATGACACCATCCTTCTCAGCCGGCTCTAGATCGAAGCCCACAGCTTCACTCCCTTCATCCCCGTCGTGCACCGCCAGCATTCTCTCGAGGAACGAAACCGCCGAGAACCCTTCCGCCGGAGTATGCAGTTCCAGCGTGGACCCGCACTTTGCGATTGTGGTGACCGTCTCCACGAGGTTCATCTCGTCGTCCGCGCCGACCATTGTGATGTCGCCTCGTTGGGCACCGCCATCGCTCGGTTGGAGGATATGGATCGGGTTCGAGGATTGGACTTGACGGATACGGTAGGTTCGGTTCGGGGTGCATAGATTGACATAGTCGTGATTCTCGGAGTCTGTGCTTGAGTTCGGCAGGTGTGATGTCGACGGGGATTTGAGCTCGAGACTAGTCATGCGTTAGGCAGGTTCTCGCACTATTGGAGTGATGAAGTGTAAATACGTTGGTGCTTCGTTTGAAGAGAGGAGCTCCGCTAGTTCTGAGGGTAGCTCGAGTAATCTGAATCCTTGCTGGGGGGATGTGTGCGTGAAGAGGATGCTTCGGGCGGCTTGGGTAGACATGGTGGTTGGTGTTTTATTGCCGCTGCCGCTTCGAAGCTCTGCCTGTCGCTTCGGATAAGATAGTTACTTGTCAGTTAGATATACTTGAAGAAGTTCGTAATGTGTGGTTCTCATAGGTGTAACTATCGAGGTACGCTGTACAGCAGGATTCAAAAAGTTCCTGAACGCGGTACGCGCCATGTCCGCGATAACGATGGGCGCACAGACCATTGCTTAATGAGGGACCAGATCTACTCCGTACTTCGATTCCAGAGCAACTTTGGTATGGGAATATGAAGTCCTGTATTGCTCCCCGGATTTTCCTACCTGGTAGATAGTGATTTATGTTCGATAGTTGTAAACTCTCTTCGCTGATTGTTCTTGTATTCGAAAGCAACCAACATACTAATTGAATCACACGAGCTCGCGAACTTGGACTATATGATGGAGTAAGACATGTCTGAATGAAGCAAAAAGAAAACTGTCTATGTAGATTTACAAAAGCGCCGCGCCGTAGAACAGCCCAGCCAGAGGCAGGGAAGAAAACCACACTGTAACCAGTACAGCGATTGATGCATCCGAAACAAATATAAGGAGGAAGCATGATGTTGGTATCCAGTAAGTATCATAGGACAGGCCCCATGATCATCAGGAAAAAGCAGGCAACAGGCTGTCCAGTGAAGATGACGATAAAGATGATAAAGATTCGGGGGAAGCTGTGCCGGAGGCCCGGAAGATGGTCATGGAAAGAAAGGGTTTGGCGGGAGAATAGCTCGAATGGCTCCAGGATGCGCAAGATCAATACAGATCAATCAAGGTCGGAAGCCTTTAAGACGCTCCGCTCTGCCTCCCCGGGGCTTCCTCGCACGACTGGCGCGGCATTGACACTTGGCTTTGGTGAAGCAGCGACAGGGGGACTTGCAGAACCCTGCACGTCTTTAACCTCTGCTGCCCCTGTCACTCCGTCGGCCTTGGTCTGGCCTGCCTGCTGATTCTCAGCTTGAATTGAATCCTGCACGAAGGCTTTGTCGATCTCCCATTGCGGCCCGGGTTCCATGAAGAGGGCCTTCATGCGCTCAGCTCGTTCGGCTTGCTCCTTCTCTTCCCTCTCCCTAGCCTTCCGCTCCTGCTCCATTTCTTCCATGTGTCGAAGGTCGTCTACACTAGGTTCGTAAAGGTGCCAGATCGTGTAGTGAGGAAGACCGATGACCGAGAATCCCATGCGCTTAGCCATCTAGTGAAAGTTAGCATTTTGCGCACTGCACAAGAAATCAAGACGACACCTACTTTCCCAAACGCTTCAGTTTCAGCGTGCTTCTCGAAACTGAAAGCGGGAAAATGAACTCCAGAGCGAAACACTTTTGCCTTGGCTAGGATACTGACACCTCCGACACCATCCAGCTCCATCTCCATGTCGGGGTCTCCAAACGGATCGCGAAGGTAGGCAAGGTGAGGCCGCCAAGTAGCATACTCCGCATATCCCTCTACAATCACTGCATCCTCGTCCAATGTTTCAGCCAGAGCCAAAGCCGTCTCCGACTCTTGCCATGAGTTCAAGTCATAGGGCTGTTCCCCACCCAACCAGTCAGGGAGTGGTCGCCAGACATCTATTGCAAGGCCCATTAGATCGAAAATCGCAGGAATCGAGACGGTACAACTTACTCGGTACAATGACATCCTTGTCATGTCGCATCAAGTCCTCCAGGATAGTGCGAGGAGCAGTCTCAACATCGGCGTCTCTCCAGTAAACCCAGCTGTGTGTCGGACGTAGAGTAGCACTCAGCAGCCAATTCCTCGCCTGGGCCATCAGTTTTCTCCGTCCCGCCTGTGCAGCAAATCCATGTCTACTTTCCACATCCTGCTGCACCTTCTGCCCAAAATCCTTTTGGATGACCGAAATTTCTCCAAACGTCATCTTGGGATCAGGATCATTTTGGACCTCCTCGAGCATACGCGTCAGCATTCCCAACGTATCATCCTTCGAGTCCGACACCAGGAACGCTAGATCAATGAGGTTGTGAGGGTAGGTGAGATTTCGGAGGTGTGAGAAGAACATTGGCAGATGCGACGAGGCATCTCGGAGAGGGGTCAACATGAGTACGCGCTCCCCTTTCTCCCATCCTTGCGCCGTGCCTTGTACTTTGGTCAGGTCATAATATCGGACAGTCTGTAGCTGTAGATCTTCGCTGGAATGTATAAGTCCAAGTGATAAGGTAGGAAGAATGGCGGCGCGCCATGAAGGAAAGATGAGGACGAGTATTAGCAGAGAGATGCCACCGATGAGACATAGCCGCTGGATGAGCAGTCTTCGTCGTCGTAAGGCAGATTGCGGACGTGGTTGAAAACTAGCAATGCAGACAAGAAATCAGCCCGAATTCAGAACGCTAATCGTGTCTGCTACTCTAATATATCTGCAGAAATGCAATTCCGCGCAGATGACGAAACCAAAAGCAACTTACCGATGAGGAGAGATGGAAAATGCTCTGCTCTGCCCGCGGGGGTAGGCAGAGTAGCCATTGGCAAAGGCGTGATGCCTGTTCATTTCTCGGGGTATCACAGCATGTGTAGGCGCAGATCAATTATCCAGAAGTCACAGGAACCAGAAGGCTCCTCGATCCCGGAGATGCAGACAAACGAACACCAGCACGGCAGTGGCTCAAATCCCGCCTCGATTACGTGTCAAGCCGGAGAGACGAAAGTAGTGGCAATTTGGCTGCGAAGGGGTGGATTTTGCGGATGCGTACGATGGGGTATGTAGATCTTCAGAGTCCTGGAGAGGCCAACTTCGATATAAGAACGGTTAACTAAACCACAAAATCAACGTAGTATCTCCAAATTAAGTAAGTAATCAATCCAACAAAGGAGATTAATTAGGCGCATGAGCGTGCTAGACAAGCGTGAAACTAAGGTACTGTAGGAAAGCTGGCTGGATCAAGAACCAAATACACAGGCCAAGTATTCCTGTCCAGCCAAATGGTTTGCCGCCTTGATTATTCGCTGTCATCCGTCCACTGTTACCCCATCCGGACGGTCCACACAAGGTACAACCATCAAGACGTTTGCGGCAGTGCAACATACTTATTTTCCGCGACGAAGCGAGCAAGATAGAATACCATTGGTGATCGCTTATCGCCAAGTCCCAGGTTTCAATTATTTTACAGCTATAATGTACATAAAGCAAATCATTGACAAAGGTACCTATCCTGTCCCAAGGGCAAACTCCCGAAGAATGCTTCATGCCAAGCCAGATGCCAGTGATCGCCATGTGTTGCAGCAGATAAAAGAAAGGCGAATGAGAAAAAGCGAATCAACTCCGAGAATACAAATAAAGAACTTTTCTTTCAATTGCCGTGCACCCGCGAGATCCTCGAGTCTGGCGAGCCCATTCCCTTGACACCAATCTCGACCTGCCGCAACATTTTCTTTAGCAGTGAATCCATTAGGGGCGGGTCTCGCAGTGCCAAAATGACGGATCCGGCCTCGTAGTCGCTGTTCAAGATATAATAGCGCTCCCTGCCCCAGAGCTCCACTGTTTCTCTCTGGAATGCGACTTTCGCAATGACCTTGGCTGGAACACTGGCCTTGTTGATAGCGCTCTTGGAGAACACTCTCAGGAATGGCCCGAGGCTAGACCGAGTTGATTGTGCCATTCGGACCGATAAGGGAGCATCTGTCGTCAGATGGCTATTCCCTTCCAATCCTCCGGGGTCCAGAGTGTATATGTTGAGTGACATGTTGCCAGTCTACGTATTGCATTGTCAGTATTGTTCGGCTACTCACACGCGCAAAGCTACCGATAAACCTACCAGGACCAGACTCCGCCGTAATGCATACATGGCGGCACTCATGATCAGCTTACTGCTCCCAAACCGAGCATTCCCTTCCTTTGCACTCAAAGGAGTGCCGGGCGCCTTCGGTGCATTGTCTGGGCTGTCGTCGAAATAGTTCAACGAGCCACTGGATATGGCAGAGCATCCAATATTAATGACTCTGGCACCGCCGTCCGGCGTGCCATTGCCGGCGCGGAAAGCTTCAAGTAGGCTGACCGTTAACAGGAACGGGGCAATGCAATTAACCTGGTAGACCGGGTCGTATCCATCCGGTGTGACTGGGTCGGTGACATAAGATGCCATGGCAGCAGAATTGATCAGGAGCATTACCGGCGGGATCTCTTTATTTCGGACCCTCTCCACGGTATTCTGACAGAAGCTGACGACGGAGTTGAAACTGGCCAGGTTGACTTTGGCTACTTCGACAGATCTAGGCCCAATGAGGCGGATCTTCTGTAGCAGGTCCTTCACGCTGTCGGTTCTGATATCGCGCGCAAGAAGCAGCAAGTGCACGAAAGGCTGCGTTTTTGCGATAGCGATAGCTATCTCTGAGCCGAGGGTCCCATTGCCCCCGGTAATGATTGCAGTTCCTTGGAGTGGTTTCGACATAACGAAAATGTGAGATTAGGTATATAGCCCGTTCAAAGCACAGGCGTAGTTAGGATGTAGACAGTTGTGTATGGATTATCAAATCAACATGACATAAGGTAGTTTGCGTCTGAAACAGAAGAAAGTATGGCGATGCAACCACAGGTGGCTATAGCGATAGAACTTGCGTCACTGTTTCAGAGTTATATATATCAGACGATCCTCAGATGAAAAAGAGTTTCATAAACTCTGCTAAAATGGGGCCGATTTGGGGAGGATGGCTAACAAGAAAATAAAACTGCAGTCGGACCGACCAACGAATGTACAACTGTATGAGAAACGACTGAAAGCGAGCGGTAAAAAGAAAAGGAAGAAAAGGAAAAACCCAAGGTGAGATTGATGCGAGAACTGTAAGTAGGGACAGCAACGATTTGAACAGAACTCAGATGCTGCGAGCTGAATCGGAACTTGCTCGACTGGGTTATAGACTAGTCAATGAGCCAGCGGACTGAGTGGGGTGAGGTGCCGCTTGGCGAAGCATAACAATGTCTAGACGACGGGGGTCTGAGTCTTTTGGCAGCGAGAACTGGTGGTAGATTTGCCTCCAGAGTCCGAGTTTTGGCCTCCATCATTTTGGAAGAGAGTGAGGGGACAAAAGTATCTGTAGAACTGGGCCAAATGGTCGTATCAGAATACGAATAGCGCGATTCTGTTTGTTTCTGGAAAGCGGAGGGTTTCTTCTCCATAGCCCAACACTCGTCCATTCATCAGTTGCAGTGGAGGTGAGACATCATCTAATACAAGCAGTATAATATCCAATGATGATGATCTATAGAGACAGGCGCTTGTCAGACAGAATGACAAACCCAGCTGTACTAAGCACTGTCCAACTGTCCGACTCATGCACTGGATGATACTTGCACGGTCCCACCTCTTGAACTGCAACTGTCCTACTAACAAGTAGTGAAAAATGCCGATGAACAACACATGGGACAAATATAGAACCCTTTGTCGACCAAGTCACCAATTGACTAGTCCAAAAATTAGCACATTGTCATTGACGGTGGCGCTCTTGGCTGCTCATCAAATGGCGCGGTCGAACGCCTGTTCGTATGCAGCCAACCAAACACGTACATTACCACATTGGGTTATTACCGATTTGCTGGGATGGATTAACAGTCTAGGCTGATTATTCTAGTCGGATCCAAGAGCTAGAACTGTAGAACACTAGAACTACATGGGTGAGTGATAAATTCTAACTTCTAGATACTGCGTCGACTTATGGGATATTCTATCGAAAGTTGGACTACAAACTGCAGGATCACAATAAATCGAAGAATCAGATAACCTATGAAGAATGAATTAAGGCATTGTTTACTCGCTTCGGAATACCCAAATCGTCGGGAAGATGCATGCTGACTACCGGACTGGTCTGATTGCAAACAGCACCGAATCGTATTCAACACGTGTCTATACCAATATACGGAACATGACCTACATCATTTGCGCCTGCCAGTCAGCCTGAAGTTGCCCGACGTTCTATCGGGCTGTACCGAAAGCTAGGGCCAAAATGGCGCTGCGCCCTTAGATCGTTGCATACATAGCCATGTGGAAGATAATTGCTTTTTTGTGCAGTATGGGCTGATTCGTATCTAGCTCATCGCGAGCTTCTGGCATCTAGACTATTGATTGATTGCTGTTTGATGGCTTTTGTCATGTAGACACCTCAACTAGGATCTTGACATGCTTGTCTCGCTCGTCAACCAAAGCCTTGAACCCCTTGGCCACCACGTCCTCCATCAGGATCTTGCTCGTGATCATCGCTCGAGGGGAGAGCTTTCCTATATGCTCGTCAGCAAAACCAGTAACAACCGGGCCCCATATAGCAGGACGAACATGCCTGATGAGATCGCATCAATGACAGCTTCAAAATCACCATCGTCACAGATCACAGCGCCAATAACATGTTTCTCGTGCAAAACGATATCAAGCGCATCGATCTTCGGCTTCTCCTCCCAAAGTGAGACTATGGTCACCGTTCCCCTCGCTCGAATAGCTTGAACAGCCGTGTCCAAGCCCACCTGCACGCCGGAGCATTCAAAGGCAATGGCTGCACCTTCCTCTGCTGTCATTGCGCGGACCGAAGCCACAATATCATCCGTCCGCGGATCAAAGACCTCAGTCGCACCCAGTTGCCTCGCAAACTGCTTACGCTGTGAGGATACTTCGGAGACTATGATGGACTTGATCCCGCGGGCTTTCAGGACCTGAACAACAGCAAGACCGATGGGTCCTCCCCCTACCACGAGGACGGCGTCGTCGGGCCGGACGGAGGCACGGCTAACTGCATGCCAGGCCACAGTAAGGGGCTCGACGAGGGCTGCATATGCACCGCAAGGTTAATTAATCACCCGATCTCATCTTATATCATCCGTAGAAAGCAATAACTCACCCCCAAGATCAAGAGGGAAACCCTCCGGCAACAGAATCGCATGCTTCTCCGCCACAACAACATGATCTGACAATCCTCCTGCATCGCCTGCTCAAATATCAGCGCCACATCTCCATCATTTGACCAGAAACTCACTCACTGCTATACCCGATAAAACCCAGATTCTGACAACAGTTCCGCCAACCCGCTAGACAACTCGCACACGTCCCATCATACAGATTCGGTCTGACAGCCACGCAATCACCGACTTTCAGTCGTGAAACGCCCGCTCCAACCTCCTCTATCACACCACTGAATTCATGGCCCAGGGTGACGGGGACGCTTCCGCCAGTGATTGGATGCGGTGTTGAGGGAACTGTGATAGGACCTGCTAGGTACTCGTGTAGATCTATATGCCATGTAAGCCCCGGCGAATTGGTCAAGACCACCAAAGAACGAAGATGAGCATACCGCTTCCGCAGATCCCTACAAAGGCAGGTCGGATCTATCCATGTTAGTCTACTTGCTTAGGAGAGCAACTAGAAGATGCGGGTAACCTTGACCTGGCCGTCGCCGCAGACGGGCTCATCAATCTCGTCGACACGGATATCGCCGCGGCCATGGAACCGGACAGCTCTCATTGTGAAGTGTAGATCTTCAGGCTCTAGCTTAGGTGCGTTAATGTTGTATCATTTCTGTTGGGACTGGCTCATCGGGATTCCTAATTGCATTTTATACGGCAGAATGAGCTGCGGAACTAAGCCGCGCGAAGAGTAATATAACGATTCATTTATTCCCTAGACATGAGACTAAGGTAGACTCTAGGAACGGTGTTTGCAGATAGTGAGGGGTCGGGTAAGCTCCTAAGAGGGGTCTGCGGGGTGACTGATGCCTTATTGCCTTGGGTGCTCTCGAATACCGCGATTGCGTCGGCAAGAAAGGAAAAGGTGAAAACTGAAACATTCATTTCTCGTTGGACATGTTGTTGATGCTAAGAGGGTAAATGCTATTTATGTTGCTGCCTCTGCACGAAATCGTAGACCAGTCCTTGTAACCATTTCCACTGATTGAACCACAAAAGGAAGAATGGACTTTTTCCTCGATAAATTCTCTACCGAACAGTAGCTCCCTTCAGAGATTTCACTGTACAGACTCCTCCGGTCTTAGCAACCAGTTTGCCCAGAGCCGGCTTGCCCTCCTGGCCCTGCACGGCGGGAACAGCGCTGATGTCGAACGCAACCTCCAGGCTGTCGGTGGTGGTGAATCCAGGCTGGAAGGTCTCCCAGACCTTCTTCTTGGGGTTGAGCACCTTCTCGGGCTCGCCGTCAAACCAACCCTCGAAGCCAATGCGGGTACCGGCAGGCGCGTCGGCAGGAGGGGTGACCAGCTCGACGGGTCCAGCGTGCGAGTCCTCGCCTTCGGCAACGCGAGGCGACGCTGCCAGAACCATGGCTGTAGACTTAATACCACGCATAGTTACAGGCTTCAGGTTGCAGACGGCAACAATCTTTCTGTTCTGCATCTCCTCCAGGGGAACGAGGCCGTTCAGACCCGAGCACACGGTGCGCACGGTCTTGCCGGTCTCCTCATCCACCGAAGTGTTCTCGGTTCCGGGAGCATCACCACAGTCGATGGTAGAAACGTAGAGGGAGTCCGCATTGGGGTGGTTGATTGCACGGAGGATGTGACCAACGCGGAGGTCGATGAGCGACGGAGAGGGGGGAGCAGCGGGCGCGGGAGCAGGCTTGGGCGCCTTCTCCTTCTTTTCCTTCTTCTCCTTCTTGTTAACCTTGGGCGGCGCGCCAGCGGCGGAATCAGCGGCCTGATCGGCAGCGCCGCCATTCGCCGCCTTCTCGGGCTTGCCTTGTCCAACGACCAGAGGCTTGCCAGCATCCGGGTTCTGGGCCGCAGCCTTCTCCCTCTTTTTGCGCTCCTTCTCTTCCTTGGGATCCACGGGCTTGGGAACAAAGCGCACGTCGTTCACGTCGATGCTGATCTTCTCTTCATCGGGGATCTGGAGGGCGAACAGGCGGCTATTTTGCACAAAGTCGATGTGACGCACAATGTGATGGTATCCTTGCTCACCAGTGCGTTCTTCGGGCGTCCATTTCTCAACGACGGGAGCGAGCAGAGCGTATGCGGCGATATCAGCAACGGACGGCTTGGTTCCCAACAACGTTGTGCGCGCGGCGAGGTGAGTGTTCAGCTGTCCGAGGATGGTCGTAACCACGAACTTGTCGTCTTTGGTCAAGGCGTTCTGGAGTCCAGAAATGGTGTCTAGCCATTGCTTGATCGAAGCCTGCTCCTGAACGGAAAAAGTCGTCTGAGGAAAGATTTTGGGCGACGCATGGAGAAGATCAAGCTCTGTGGCGTCGGGAGAAACTGCAGCGGGGTACGAGCGGTAGAGGAGAGAGAGGAGAGAAGACTCGGGTGCAGAGTTGATAGCCATGTTTGCGAATGGGCGACGAACGGCGAAGCAGGACAGAGGCGAGGTGGTGAAGTTAAGAAGAGGGGCAGTAGAAGTCGGCCTCAGGCGTAGTAATAATAATCTGGAGGGTTGACTGATCCGCGGGGCTGTTGTTCTGGCGGGCCCCGTCAGACTCACAGAAACCTTGAGGAAATTCAACTTGACTAAGTCCCAGATCCCTAGAGTGATGGGATCCTTGTATGATTGACTTGATAAAAGAGCTGATTACAATTGGATTTGGCTAGATATCATCAGACTTCGTCTTGCTACAGCATTTCTCGGCTTCCGCGCTGTCGTGACTGCATCCGGTTAGTCTCTTTTTATCTTTATTTTTTCCTTTTTTCCTCTAACTAAGCCAGGGCTGGATGACTCGGTGTCGGCTGAGTCATCCGAGTATAATTATATTTTATGCACGCCGTTTGCTATAATAATGTATACTCCTCGACAGACGGCAGATTCCAGTTTGCAATATCGGAAACCAAGTTGCGGTGTATTATTTAGATCTATGGAGACAGTCTAACTGTAAGGATATGCAGAACGAATATGGAGTCAGCTGTAACGTCCGAAAGACATTACATTTTTGGCAACAAGCAGTTAGACTACTTGGGCGAGGCAAGTCCAATAGATGGGCCTCGCAGGTCAAAGACGACGAAAAAGGCCTTTAGGAAGACATCACCAAGGATCTGCATCGAAGTGCCCTGGTTGGACTGGATACCACCGAAACATACTACAAGATGACATGTCAGTACATGAACTTTCGTACGCGAAAATTGATCGGCTTACCTGTTTGTCCCGTCGTTTTGTTAATACCAACCTCTGCAAAATCCAGGAACGTGCCAGGTACCGTCGCCAAGTGCTTTGCGCCGACAGCAACCGCGAGATTAGGCAGTTCAGTACCACAGGGATAGATGTAACCGCCGGCGCTGCTGGCATACTGCGCGCCTTTGACCTGCGCGTAGTAGGCATTTACCACTGTGTCATCGAGAAGCATCAATGAAGTGCCGGTATCAGCGATGGCACTAGCACTATTCTGGATAGTCTGGATAGAACCATCTCCGACCTTGTAATGGGCCGACTGGAACTGCCAGAAACCGTTCGAGGAGTCCACCGTCACATTAATAATGTCGCCTTGATACTTGGTTTGATCAATGATTCCGAACTCGTACTCGCCGACACCATCGCTCTTCAGATGCGCCGTCATGACTGGCTCATCCAGACTGTCGGCGATATTGTCGAAGAACGTCTTCTGCTGCTGAGGCTTGACTGTATTGAGGGACGAAAATCCCAGGCCTACGAGACCGTTCGAGTAGGTATCTTCCACGAAGGAATTGGACACGCTCGTCGGGATACCAATCGCTTGACCGGTAACAGTTGCGCCACCAATGTCAACGGTATCAGTTCCGACGCCACCATTAGCAAAAGACGAATCGCCGTATTTGATCTCAAAAGTAGCTCCTTCCATCTTCTTAAAAGTGGACGACTTGGAAGGATCGAAGACAGTGTGGCCGACCTGAGCACTCGCCGGAAGCTCCGTGTTCATCACCCAGCTGGTGAAATCCCCAGTCAGTAAGCTCTGTTGTTGGAGTGATTCGAATCAATGGACTTACAAGTCTGCTGAGCCGGTGTCAAAGTTCATCACTATTTTCTGCCCACCGATCGTCACAGGGCTGACGAAAGCAGCATCGTTCTGAACAGATTGCGCACTGACTGCACCTGTCTGCTCTGGCTCTTGCGCATCGGTTACGAGTAGATTGGCAGCGGTGCCTGAGATAGATGTCGTGTTGAAAGGCTCAAAGTCCGACAGATCGACGCCAAAGGTCGTAGGAACTATGCCAAACTTCCGATAGGCTCTGCGCAGAGCAGTCGGACCGTGAATGGAGTTTCCACGCTTAATCCGCTCAACCTTGAAGGACCGGCCCTGAGGTTGAGCTCGTGGCGACGTTGGTGCAGCGAACACACCGTAGCCAAGGAGCAGAAGGAAGAGAAAAGACTGTAGTGAATGCATATTGGCTCGATACTGCCTGTATTTCCAGTCTTCAAATCAATGATCGTATTTGCTGCTTCTAGCAGCTGAAGGTGGAAAGCCTTCTAAACAAGACAGAGATCAAGCCGGAAATAAATTAAAGAGCGTGTGCTCTGTATGCCCAAGTCCAGACCTGGCCACCTGCGAATATTGTAAAGACAAAAAGAATAAAGAAAAGATACAAAAAATGAAGGGAAAGAGAAACAGCCAAAGGAGCTGCCAGGCAGAAGAGAAAGACAAAGAAGTGAATGACTTGGTCTATTCCATTGTCAAGAGGGCCCCAGGGCAAAACCCATCATAATAAAGACCTCAAAGGCCCTAATCACAAGGAGCATTAAAAGTTGAACTGAGCTTCAGACCCCAGCTAAGAACAGCCGAGAGCGCGGATAGCTCCCATGTTGGTAAGTCGGCCCACTCAGGCGAAGAAACCCGACTTGAACGGAGAAAGCAACCAATCCATGCTGTTCATATGGAGTCAGCGATGAGGCAACCTCATCTGCCTGACACAGTCAACACGACTCGACAGGCTGGATCTGACAGTTGCTGGCGCAAATCATGAGCCATTCAGGGTTGCCGAGACAGACTTCCCCTGAATGTGAAACGCCTAGGCGCTGGGCAGTCGCGGGTTGTGCTGACCAGTCAAACCAGTCATCCACTATCGCCAAGAGATGGTGAAACGGTAGACTGAGTCGAAGTAGGCGGTCAAAATACGTCTGTGCCGGTAGGTTTTTTTCTTGTAAGGGGCTGTGAAGAACTGAAGGTTGATGGAACATCATTATAAAGGATCTGTGTTACATTCATCCATTCGCGGGACTGTCGACTGTCAAGCGCAATCGGCTGGGGAGTTACGTAGATAAGCGCTGTCCCTTGGTCGGTTTCCAACCACACGGCATCATTCATGAAAACGCACACTGCAGAGATCCCATACCCCCGTCATGAGTCGAGTCCAACTGACGAATGTGCCATACATTTGGAGAGTGAGGTTGGTGCCTTACAATCGATAGCGCCGCTTGTCAGACATACATGATGTGGATCCTAGATAGTAGGTGTAGAACGAGAGGAGTATACACTACACGCCTTTATACGAATGCTAATGCCCGGTGCTTTCTCGTTTGGTAAGAGCAATAAGTGTCCTCATCATGCGAATGCCTCATATTGAAATGGTGGTATCAAATCATGCTTTCCCAAAACGCCGTAGTCAAGAAACTCACAATGCACGCTATTCTAGCTCAAATGGACCACAAAGTAGAAGCAAAGCAGGACGACCGAAATATGAATCACTCCACCATATCATTATCGTCAGGCGGGAGCACTTTATTTGGATCCTCGCCAAGCATTTCGCTAACCGACCGTACAACCTGCTTGATGGCCTTTGACGCTGGGCTGTCCGGAAAGTTGTCCACGAAGCTTTCACCGTAGTCGCAAGCCATTCCAACTCTTGGGTCAAGAGGAACTGAACCCAGGAATGGAATGCCCATCTTTTTCGCCAGTCGTTTGCCACCTCCCGTCGTAGCCCGGAAGATTTCCGATGTATTGGAGCATCCTGGGCAGACGAACCCCCGCATGTTCTCGACTAGGCCCAGGATACGAATGCCAGCCTTGCGGCAAAAATCAATCTCCTTCCTGACGTCGAGAAGCGATACTTCTTGAGGCGTCGTAACAACCACCGCTCCGTCCACGCCAGACTCCTTTAGAAGTGAGTTCACCGATAAGTGCTCGTCCGAAGTCCCAGGCGGCGTATCAACAATCAGGTAGTCCAACTCGCCCCAGTCCACATCCTTCAGAAACTGCTTAATCATTCCATTCTTCTTTGGGCCCCTCCAGATGATTGCGTCGTCTCTGTTCGGCAGCATGAATTGGATACTCATTGCACTCAGATTATCGGTCACCCACACCGGACTCCAGCCTGCGTTGCTGACGTGAATTGTCTCCGACTCAACACCCATCATCTTGGGGATGGAGGGTCCGCAAATGTCCGTATCACAGAGGCCGACGGTGGATTCAGGGTTCGATGCAAATGCATGTGCAAGAAGCGAGGAGAATGTGGATTTGCCGACACCGCCTTTACCGGATAGTACAAGGATCTTGTGTCGGATTTGAGAGAGACGTTCGGTGATGATAGGGATGTCGGGATCGGGGCCCTTGGGCGCAGATGCACAAATGGCTTGATTGGGACAACCAGCGCAGGCATCGCCTTTTCCTGCTTGCTCTGACTCGGGTCCAGGGCAGTGCTCTGCAAGAATTAGCGATCTTCAAGGGTAAAAGAAAACGACTTTTTGCCCTTTAGAAAGACATACCTGGTTCCGGGGCGACGAGGTTCGGTGCCACCTTGGTTGGCACATCGAACGCTGCCATCGGCTCCATCATAGACGGCGCCATTGTTGTGAAGACCAGCTTCTTCTAAGAGATATGGCGATATATCCTCATAGATTCTCAAGAACCGGTAGGTGTGTCAAATTAGTTTGCACAGAAGAAAGCAAGCTTTGATGAAAAAGTGGCGGATCGCCTGCTTGATAATCCCATTATCGGATGACAAACTCTTGGTGGCGATTGGCGCGGGGTGGTTTTCTCAGGAACCAGCCACTGCGGTGTCGGAGCGCCCCGCGATAAGATTGATTAATGATAGACCCTGTAGGATGCCTGAATATCTAGGTAGATGGACAGTCATGGACTATCATGGTGATTATTGCTGGCACTACTACGCTGATGAGCAGCGAATGGCATATTATAGCTATATAGACAAGGTTCAAGATCTATATGTGTCGCGATAGTCAGTTGAGTGTTCCCTAATGGACTAGAGCCTGAGAAACAGATATGTATTCTCCAATAAATGGTCGCATTCTGTAGGGAGGGTTGAACTATCAATGTAACTTTCATAAAATCGATTTGTTCGTGCCCACAGAGTATGCAACCGGATGCTTGCAAGTTCAGTCTGTCCATCTTTTCAGAAGCGGGTTATGACTCTAATGATCCTCTTCTTTTTAGCAAGGAGAATAGATACCTATCGATAATGCAGAGGCTTGTCAGAACCTTATCATGCCTCCCTGGCCGTGCCACTCTCAAGTCAGGCCTACCATATCATTATCCACCAACTGGACAGCCAGAAGGCTGATCTATTTTGATCAAAGGCGCGACTTGCAAGGAACATCCTCAGCAAGTATCCGCAGGTTATCATTAACTAGAGATACTGCAGATCTCTACAGGACCCAGTCCTCTTACGAAACTACAACTATCAGCATATCAGTTCCTATTCCCTTCTTTCTGCAGGCCGTGTCTGCGTGTTGCATTAGGCAGTGCCAATCAGGTCCCCTCAACGTCATGCATATTTTATGCAGTGCATATGCTTCCCTTTCAACGTTGAAAGAATCGCTGAAATTGCTGATTGGCGTTAATCTAGACTACCTGCATCTTACCTGCTTCAATTCCTGATTTTTCAGGATTGACAGGGGAAATGCTGTCCAGTGAAATGTAGTATTCGATGCACCCGCCGTTACCGCTCGATTGTGATGGCTTTTCCGTCAAGAGAAATATGCTTTCAATGTGCAGAGCAAGCGAATAGTCGACAAAGCACGAGTAGTAAGGTAAGGAAATTGTCGTCGCTCAGACGGATCAGTATCCAAGGGATAACCCACGGGCCTGAAGATTGCTTTAGAGTAACTTGAACCGTATCCCATCCGATATGATTTGGCTTGACTTTTCCTCGTCAACATCGAGGTTACTAGGATGTACTATGTTTGCGAAATAAGTTGTTTGAATTCCTTACGGGCGTTGAACCTTCTTTCCCTTTCTGCTCCATTCCTCATTCCCTTTAAGAGACTGCACCAACGTCTTGTGATTGGCGCTTTTCCCACTCAATGGGTCTGGGTCGCTAAGTAGCCCTTTTCCCCAACGACAGCTCTACTTAGTCTCGTCCTTAAGACGCATGAGGTTACTCTCTCTCCCCGCTATACCCCGTATGGGTAACGATAAATAGCAGGTAGCTCCGCCGCTCTGTCACTAACACAAGCATTTTCTATCTCTTTTCTTGTTTATATTTTGCATATTCTCTCTTTCCTCGAGTTGTTCAGTGACCCACTGAGCATTGTTGTTGAGGTGCGAAATCTATCCAATTTAGGAGACACTAACAGAAACGTCACATGGGTTGTGGCCGACACTACCCACCCTTGCTTTCCTGTCACATGCTTCTTCTGCACCTTTGACTTTCCGATCCATCTGTCCACAATAACAATTTTCCGCTCCCGCTTCCCACGCAGGAATCAGAGAGCTACACGCAATTATGGATCGTGGCCTTTCAACAGGCGCTCATCAGGTAGATGATGGACTTCGCGAGAGGACTGCGGCCTCTCAGTCCAGCTCGGCCCCCGGTCTCGAGGCTTTAACAGCCACGGGTGAAGGTGAGGTCAAGGACAAAGCCGGCAAAGGCAAAAAGACATACGGCCGGACTCCTGATGGTAAAGGTACGTAAGATGGTCTCACTCGATAATTAAGAATAGATGACACGCCTTTTCGGCTCTCAAAAGACTCCTGGGGTGCTACGGGTTGCTCTCCGCTAACTGATCTATTCGATAGTGTTTACGGTGCCTCAAACGCACGACATGGTCTCTCAACTACTATCACCCTCGGAACCAAAGAACCTGTCAGATGTCATCGTTCTAGCCATTCTCGCTGCTCATATTATTCTCTTATGGCGACTTCCTGCGGGTGCCAAAGTGCCCGTTTTTGCCTTCATCTACCTCTTTTGGCGCGGTGCCTACAATGCTGGGATCGGATGGCTGCTCCATAACCAGTCGAACCACAGAACGCTCGTCCGTTGGGCGGAGAAGACCAAGATCTTCGTGAATCCGGCCACTGGCCAAAATCCTCATGCTAACCTATACAAGTTGATTAAACGTGAATTGGAGACCAAGATCCCAGCTGACTATTCGTTCGAAGATGCTCCAATTGAGTACAACACCTGGCTCGTCTTCAGACGACTTGTCGAT